TCCTCCACCATCTCTCATGATCCTGTGATCAAACATATGTAGGAGACAGTTTAACACGTAGGCTTTCGCGACAAATATTCTTCATAATAAAGGTTTTTGGGTTAGATCGCATGAAAAAAAATATTGTCGTAACCCTCCACCACCTAATACAGTCAGTAAGGTTTGTCACGTAAACAACGCGCGAATGAGTTACTACTTCAGCCCACCGGTGTGTTGGAGAGTAAATCCACAACATTTACAATTTTAATAGTTCGACGTTTTGCTGGTAATTACATCCAGCATCATCGGGCGATTTGCCAGAATCGTGAAGCAATCCACCTGCTTCCGGTATTAAATAGAGAAAGATGACGTGATCACTGAACCCATCAGGTGCAGAGATCAGAGGCAGAGGAGGGGGGTATTGTAATTATGTAATAGATTCGTTTTTCGTTAATTAACATCTGTTTCCTCTATAAGGAATGCAGTTGTAAGATGTATTACTTAATATTACACTTCCAGGCCGCACTAAGCTTGTAGTTGTCTGAGTGGTTAAAATTATGTAGTTCTCTCAATTTAAATGGATTCTCAAATTACTTCAACGTTATCAAAACCAATTGAGTATCCTTGTTGGCAATCATATTCTGCAACTTCCGACAGTTGTGTTTGAGAGAATTTGATTTTTTTGTGGTGTTCTTTGAGTATTACGCTAATGTTACCAATATAGCATCTGCTACATAAGCAATAAATACGATACACACCTTCTGTTGATAACTTAGGCAATTCATTTTTAGTACAAGATACTAGGTTTTTAATTTTGTGTACCGTGCCAAATATTACTCTGATTTTTTGTTTTTTCAAAACTCTAGCTAATTTGTTAGTTTCTCCCGCAATATATGGTATTTAAAATGTTTTTATCTCATCGCTGTCAGCGTATCGCTGGTCAACCTTGGTTTAACATTCAATGCTCTGTTAATTTGAGCATTATTGTAGTCATGTAATCATAGCGCTCGTTTAACATGTTTAATCTCTCTCCTCAGACTTTCACCATCTGACACTGCTTTAGCCCGATGTATGAGCGTATTGATGAGAGAGGATTTATGAGCGGGGTGATGATGCGAATCTGCATTCAAATAGGCATCAGTGTGCATTTCCTTTCGGTAAACGCTGTGTGATTTTACCGTTTAGGCCACGTCCGAGCAAAAATCCAGGAATGGGAGTGTGTTATTCACCTCCACTTCCATGGTGAACTGGATGGCAAGGTTTTGCGAATTGAGATGATTTAGAAATTCATTAAGTGTATCTTTACAATGTGGCCAGACAACCAAAGTGTCATCCACATATCTAAACCAAAAATATGGTTTTATTGTACTTGAAGCTCTTGCTTCAAAGTTTTCCATGTACAGATTCGCAATAGCTCCTTCCTTTTGTTTAAGGAAATCACCTCTCCATAATAAATACGTGTTATTTAGACAATAGTCAGCTCGTTTTGGAATATCTTTTGGTAAACCTGTCTTATTTACTATCGAGTAATTTAATTGACTCGTTAACCGGAATCTCAGTAAATGGAGACATTACATCAACGCTCACTAGAATGTCATTAGAGTTACGTTTAATATCTTCAATCACATTCACAAGATGCTCTGAATTTATTTTGAATAAAGATGTCCTACCGATGTAGGGCTGTATTTGTTTAATTACATACAAATAATTTTAACTGCTCTGACAATTACAGGCTTAGTGCGGCCTGGAAGCGTATTTATTAAGTAATACATCTTACAACTGCATTCCTTATAGAGGAAACGCATGCTAATTAACTGATTACTAATCTATTACATAATTACAATAACCCCCTCCTCCGCCTCTGATCTGTGCACCTGATGGGGTCAGTGATGACGTCGTCCTACTGCTCTATTTAAGACCGGAAGCAGGTGGATTGCGTCACCATTCTGGCAAATTGCCCGACGATGCTGGATGTAATTACCAGCAAAAAAGTCGCATTTAAATTGTAAATGTTTTGGATTTACTCTCAAATACACTAGTGGGCTGGAGTAGTAACTAATTGGCGTGTTGTTGTTTACGTGACAAACCTTACTGGCTGTGCCGGGTGGTGGAGGGTTATTGTGGTGCCATGGCCTCGAAGCCATTCTACAAGTGCCGTGACCCCCCCCCCCCCTTGACCCCACACACGCAGCGCACACACAGAGTGTCCTGCTTGGCACAACGGGTTTTAATCCGAAGGGTCCCTATGAGGAAAGTCCCACGGTTTCCTGGTGCCAGGGGTTGGCCGACCATCGCAGGACAGGTTACACTGCGTTGCCCCTGAGTTGGCTTGATAGTGAATGGGCGCAAGAAGGTTTACCCGGCCAACCGCATTGGCCATGCGGTACAACGCGACCCCGGGCTTTTGAAGTTGGGGGAATAAAAAGGGGAGCCTGAGGCCATTCAAAGGAGACTCTTGTGGAACATCTTGGTCGCCAAGACTCCCCTCCTCCCTGCCGCCAGCGAGTGCCGCCAAGAGGCAGCGATAGGCAAAGTTTTTCGTCCTCTTCTTTCCGACTCTCACATCGTCCGTGCGACGCCGTGAGTACAGCTCCGAGGTACGCAGTAGGACGTTTGAGTAGCTAGGGACTTAGGCAGCAGTAGGCTAGGCTCTTCTCGCGAAATATTCCCCCCCCGGGTAGTGCGGGGTTTGCGCCGAGAATAAAAGTTAGCACAAAGCATCGGTGTGGTGTTTGTGATTCCTGTGTGGAGCGACCGCGTGGGGGAACGCGCGGCCAGAGTTCACGTGGGGCCGCGACGTGCGCGCGCGTCGAGAGGTAATCGCTCGCAGGAGCAGGTGCGAGCGCGTCCGTGCCCCCCTGTGTTAGCGATAGCTGCGATGCGCACGGGTGTGTTGGTCTAACTCCGTGCCAGCAGCACGAGTATGTCCCGCAGAGAGGGCGCTAACGCGGGGGGCCCCATCACTTGGTCGGTGGGGGACGGCGGGAGCTGAACAGGCAGACGTCGCGTCCCACCTGCCTAGCGAGGGCGGTGGGGTGGACGTGGGGCCCCACGTTATGACACATACCCACGCGATCTAACCCAAAACCCTTTATTATGGATATTTACACGTGTTGTCCAATAATTGCACGCGTGTCGTGCATATATGGCACGTAATAATTGTTATGAATTGATGCATTGCATTCCATAAACTACACTATGTTTCATACTCTTTGGGTCTTTACCGAAAGAACCAAATAGTATGAATTCCTGCAGTCACGAAAGCTTTAAGTCTACACTATGTTTAATTTACAAGGCAAGACTATTCAGCTTTTTTCAAAAACGACTTGGCCACAAATGACAGCTCAACAAAAGTGGCTTATCACGTGGACATTTATAGCAGCCAAATACTTTAAATGCACGTTGATTCTAAATGTTGAGGGAAAAACCGGGGCGACCCCGCAGAAAAATCCACGTGACCACGGGGAGAACATGCAAACTCCAAATATACAGGTGTCAGAATTGGGATCGAACCCACGACCTCCTGTATACCAGGGGAGGTAGTTAACATCTCACCAACGAGGCATATGCACTCCAGAAGGCTGTTGGGCAAATGAGTGATGTGGACAGACACCTACCTTTTATATTCTCCACAATGATGTCGATAATTATGTTCTTATTAAATGACAGCCTTACTCATAGATACATCACAAAGTGAATTATGCAAATAATGTTGTCCATTGATCTCATAACAGTGCTACCCATAATGCAATGTGCCAACAACATTTTGATAACTTTCAATATAAATCAATGAATTTAACAGGAATGCTTTCTGATTGTTAAAGGTTTTGTCTGCTACGAATAAATAACTATAAAAAAACAACCCCGTTTATCAGAATTTTTTTATTTAAATCGCATCAGGTCTCATGGTGGAAAAAAGTGCAAGTCTCCAGCTCTTATCACCTCCTGACCAATCTATTTACATACCTGTAAAGTGTAAACCCATACGGTTTACCCGTATTCATGTACGGGGAAATTGAGTTTTCAAGTTCATACAGCGTAAAGCCGTTTCAATACGGGCAAAATGTTTCTGTCTATTTGTTTGTGTTTCTCCCTTGTGATGGGACTTTCTCGGATGAACGTTGACATTTGTAAGGGGCACGGGGTGACCAATAGGGTCTGTCACAAGATAGGGCACTGATAGGGGGTTGACAGGTATGCATGTGCTCTGAAGAAGGGCTGTTGCCCGAAACGTCGCCTCTTATATCCCCCCCCCCACCTTTAAACCTCAATATTATAGACCCAACGCGTTTTTTTTTACTAAAACACATTCCTGCGGAGGGAGCTGGTAGGAACGTTGGGTTGCTCGGTCAATGGCCAGGGTTAACGGCGGCGTGGTGTATTCCGCAAATATGCCCGTTTGTGAGGGCGGGCACAAGCCGGCGTGAGTAGGTTAAACGTTGCGTTTTATAAGGGGACCACCGGGTAACCAGCCCCTCCCCACCCAGCCCCACCCCTCCCACCCCTCACCCAGCCCCACCCTCCCCACCCCATCCAGCCCCACCCCTCCCACCCACCACCCAGCCCCACCGTACCCACCCAGTCCCACCCTCCCCTCCCCACCCAGCCCCACCCCTCCCACCCCCACCCAGCCCCACCGTACCCACCCAGCCCCTCCCCACCCTCCCTACCCAGTCCCTCCCCACCCTCCCCTCCTCACCCAGCCCCTCCCCACCCAGCCCCTCCCTGCACGACGGACGGACGGACACAATAATCCCCTGTGGGCTGGTGTAACCAGGAGGTTCCTACCAACCAGTATGAATAATTCGATGCATTGAGCATCAACGTCAAATGCCAGAGCGGCGGGTGGCTCAACGATCAAAGCGAGAAGCGACACTACCGAACTCTTTTTACTGCCCCCTACGCCACGCCCCACAACAGCACGTGGTCAACGTCTCGCGCAAGACCTCCACGTTCGCCAAACGCCCTCAGAGCGAACGCGCAACGCTTGCCCGTTGCGCTCACCGTTTAAAATCTGCCCCGAGGGCGTCGCGTGCTTAGCACAAGTGCGTCTCCGTCTGTGTGTGTGTTGTGTGTGTGTCTCCCTCATCCTGTGTGTTTACCTCAGGCTCCCGAGAGGGTCGACTGCGTCTAAACCTCCCCACTTACTAATCGCTCGATCGCGTCAGGTAACAAGGCATCTACGTTTTTATTATTCTGTCATCGTCATCATCGTCGTCGTTGTCGTCGTCGTCAACCGCGCGTTAATTTTGTCTGAGGAGATGAGCGTGCAGCTCAAGTGCTGCCGACGTTGTCTGTGGACACGCGCAACTGACTACGTTGTTTTTAGTTGTTGACGATTGTTTTTGCATTGTGAGCGGTGTGAGGCGGTTTTTGAGTCAGGTGAGGGGTGGCCTTCATCCAGCAGTGGATCGATCAAGGCTGGTGGTGATTGTCGAGATAAACGTATTGGTTGAACAACCGCATCTTGTGCTTTAGAGGCTATAAAAACCGGTTTAATTATCGCCCAACAGCCAATTGTAGTCACTCCACTGCTGTATGAAGGCCTTCCCCAAGCCGTATCGAGGCTGTTTTGACCATACTTCACCTTGCTGGTCATTTGCGGTGCCGTGGGAGGGTGGGTGGTGTGGCTGGCACCACAGCCGTGCCAGCCTTTGTATCCCCAGCCCACGGTGTACTGTACCGTACTTATTTAAGGCCGAGTCGATGTAGTGGAAGGTCCCAGGACTGGGTCCGGCATCGAACTGCTGCTCCACTCCTCGTGGCGAGGAGCGCGGTGTTGCTAACCGCTGCGCCACCGCTCCCTGCCCTCCCCAATTCAATGAACTCATCATAGCTGTATTCTTGGTTCCTTCGGTAAAGTCACGTAGAAGGGAAGTAATACAATAATAAAAATAAAACATAATAAAATAATAAAAATAAAGCATAATATTTTTATTATTTTATTATTTCCCTTCTACGTGACTTTACCGAAAGAACCAAGAAGATGAATCCCTGCAGTCACGAAAGCTTTGAATTAAAATTTTATTATGTTTTATTTGTATTATTTTATTACTTCCCTTCTACGTGACTTTACCGAAAGAACCAAGAAGATGAATCCCTGCAGTCACGAAAGCTCTAAATCGAAAAAAATGTTTCATTATAGCTGGTTGAACACGCCGGATTTTCAGTGGTCGAAAATGCACGCTGTGAATAAACACGTCGGTTTGATGACACAAAGTAGGTTGTCACGTAGGTACATAATACAGGGTGTTTAGGGGGGGTTAGATCGCGTAAATATTATAAATGTGTCGTTAAACCCGCCACCACCCGACACGGCCAATTTACGTAAACAGAACGTGGCCAATTCGTCACTAGTACAGCAACGCGGGTTGTGTGTTGGAGAGCCAAGCCACAACATTTACAATCTGAGTACGACGTTTCGTCGGTTATTACAACCAGCTTCATCAGGCGGGTGGTGACGGGTTTAACGATATTTATGCGAGCTAACCCAAAAACACTTGTACTGTATTACGAACTAACTCATAACTGTCAACCCATACGGTTTACCCAGTCTTTTTGTACAGGGAAATTGAGTTTTCAGGTCCATACGGCAACAAAAAGCATGTGTATTTGTTTGTGTTTCTACCTTGTGATGGGACTTGGTGTAGGATGAACAATGAGATTTATAAGAGCCACGGGGTGACCAATAACGTCTGAATTGGTCTGTCATGAGGGTAGGAACAGATAAGGGATTGACAGGTATGAGAACTGGGGTAGTTAATGATTAAATGATAATGCCAGTCCATGTGACCGAAGACTTCACGTCAGCATCAACAATAATATCATCTTCTTGGTTCTTTCGGTAAAGTCACGTAGAAGGGAAATAATAAAATAATAAAAATAAAACATTAAATAATTCTCACGACGTTTCGGCCACAACGCAAGCAGCCGTCATCAGGTGAATTCCTCTTGATATGCAAATTATATGCAAATTATTTTGTCAAGGCGGTCTTCCCCCTCCAACCCAGCTTAAATATACGCTGCCAAGCCTGGTGGTGTTCATTCAGACGCTGTCTTTCTGACAGACCTGTTCTTCACCTGAGGACGGCTGCTTGCGTTGTGGCCGAAACGTCGTGAGAATGATTTTATTATGTTTTATTCGTATTATTTTATTATTTCCCTTCTACGTGACTTTACCAAAAGAACCAAAAAGATGAATCCTTGCAGTCACAAAAGCTTTAAATCGAAAAATAACATCATCCATACAGGACATCACTCTTAGAGTCGGCATCATCATACATCAACGACACTACATTACAACTACGTTATATGATTTAGTAACGTAACGTAGTTTATTAAAATCAGCCATGCTCAATATATCGGCAGATAAAGCCCTTCCATGTAGCTCCTGTCTCTGATTTCGACATCATCATAATACAAATACAATGTATGTTACACTGTGTTGTGGTGCATTGTTCAATCCACTGCTGGATGAAGGCCTCCCAAAGCCGTTGGTCGTGGGGGTTATTTGACCAAGTTTGACCGGTGGAGCGTGCTAACCCCTCCACCCCATCACGATTGGACAAAACCTGAACATCCTCAGAATGTCATCGAAGCTTCACCAAAACACAAGACTCTATATGTACAAGAAATCGCCCCTCGTTTACCGTACCTTTAAACACCATACGATCAACCTGACATCACAATAAAACGCATTAAATTGCTCTGACATCACCTCAACATCAACTGACATCGCTATATGGCTTAAACATCACCGGACAATCACCCTAACATTGCCACTGCATCACTGCTGCATACCTCTTCTTGGTTCTTTCGGTAAAGTCACGTAGAAGGGAAATCATAAAGTAATAAAAATAAAACATAATAAAATACAATTCTCACGACGTTTCGGCCACAACGCAAGCAGCCGTCCTCAGGTGAAGAACAGGGCTGTCGGAAAGGCAGCGTCTGAATGAACACCACCAATGTGTGTTATACTGTATGCTGCATACCTGTCAACTCATACGTTTCACCCATGTTTATGTACAGGGAAATGGAGTTATTAGGTCCATACGGCATACATATGTTTCAATATAGGCATTTTTGTCTTTGTGTTTCTCCCTTGTGATGGGACTTTGTAGGGTGAACGTTGAGATTTATAATGGCACGGGGTGACCAATAAGGTAATGGATTGATCTGTAATAAGGTAGGCACTGATAAGGTGTTGACAGGTTGGTCATTGACATCTTAACATCACTAAGTCGTCTCCATAACTTCACCAAATTATTAATCGAACGCCCTAACATCAATAAATTCACATATCTCACTCACGGTGGCATCATTACAATTTATGCACGTGACGAAACCCATCACCTGACACCACTCACGCATCATGTGACGTAATCTGACATCATTTGAGCTCGCCTCCTCATCACTCGGACCATCAAGCTCACATCTCTAACATCAACCAGACCGTCACAAACATCGCAGGCATCATCTTCGCGTCCGTAACTATAACCTTTGCCACGAGATCCGCAACAAATCTCACTACGGACCTGTGACGAACCTGTGTTGTACACTCGTGTGTTGACAGTGCCCATTCTTAACGTTAATAGCAATGGGGGAGGGTTGATGATGATGATTGTGGTGATGGTGGTGGTGATGATGATGGTGGTGATGATGGTGGTGATGAGAACTGTGATTGTGTAGAGTGAAGGAAATCGAAACTGGAGTGTGTCGTTGATCCAATTGCAGTGCTAGTTATTAATTAATATTATTTGGTTTCCATACAAACAATTAGGAGCTTACATTAGTTTGATTTATTCATTTTTAGTCCACTGCTGGATGCGAGTCTCGACACACTGTGGGGTGGTGTTTATTTCACCATATTTCACCAATTGCTCGGATTGCTATCTGCTTAATTGCTCTTCTTTATTCCCTTTGCCCGTGTCATTTTGATGACGCATGTCCCTCGTGGTTTCTTGAGTTCACATCCAGTTAATCAGCATAAATTCACTTCCCGAAAATATCACTTTCATTTGGTGTATTTTTGTGCCGATAGCTGGGTAAACTGGCTGAACGGGATTTTCCACGTAAAAAAAATGAACATTGAATTGAACTTGATGCTGCTCAGTGCAGGTTAATGAATGGGGCTAGGCCATGACCTCTTAAAGATATCACTCCCCATCGATGTTAGCCGTGGTTGGGACTCAGACTCGGGTCGCTAGGTTCATAGCGCGGTGGGTTAACCAATACGCCATGAATCTTCCCCATGAATAGTAATAATACAGCAAAAATAACAATTTGAACGCGTGCGCCATTTAAATGTCAATATCAGTCAAGATGCCGCAGAAAGCAATTCACGCAAACATGAAAAAAAGGAAATGTAGCAAAATAAAAAATAATGAAACCGCAACAAAAGTTGAGCCACGTGTTCCCGTGGTGCAATGCTCCACACAAGTACAGTGCCACCAATGACACTGCAAAACCCTTAATGCTCATGGGATTGTAGTGTAGTAATTAACAGTAGACTATTGGTACAGCTTCTTGGTGATGGGCAAAGTAGGCTATCCGCAATATACATTTTCACGATTATGGAGAAGACCCCGGGGACGGGCCAGGATACGCTGGTGGGACTATGTCACTCAGCTGGCCTGGGAATCCCTGTGAATTCCCTAGGAAGAGCTAGAGTCTGTCGCCAGGGAAAGGGAGGTCTGGACTGCCCTACTCAGCATGCTGCCGCCGTGAACCTCATCAGGACAAGCGGACTGAGAAACGAACGCCACGAACGATTTTGACGAATCATTTCCATATTGAACGATTATTGCGGTGTTAGTTTCTCGGCCTGTTGCGATATGTCGTGATTATCATTCCTGAGCGGTCTCTGGTGTGGACCAATCAGTTTCAAGGACAATGCATATATTATCAGAGTGATTTATGTTTGCATTTTGAGCACAAGTATTGTGGTTAATGCACACATGATAACTTGTAAAATGGTTTCAGTTTTGTTGCCCAAAAAGAGGGGAAAAAACATTATCATTCCTCTTTTAACTTTTCTAAAATATTCAGGCTCCCAAATAAGATATTTGAAGTAATCGTGAACTCTACAATTAAAGCTGTAAATAAATAGCTGCTATCCATGAAATTAGCAGTGTGCAAAATGTTGTTTTGAAAGCATCGATATTCATCATTGTCATAGTTCAGCTAATTATTTATTCAATTGTTATGTAACCGACAGCAAGTTTGTTCTAAATGCTATAGCTTGTAAAGATGTAATGATTATAAGGCAGGGTACTATTGAATAACCCGCAGTTAGTTAAAGAACCTTCACAAAACCCTTATGTCCTGGGAGTACCGTAAGGCATGAAAACCAAGTGCCGTAAAAATGTTAGGTGCAATTACAAAGTTGTGGGATGCTGATATCGCTATAAGCAATCATATCGTGTAATTTAATATATCGTATCGTGAAAAATTATACCGCGGCTACCCTATTAGTTTCCCGTAACTTTGTAAATGTATGTTCCATTTTTTGTATCGTAATTTTTTTATGTTGGTTTTCGTAGCTAACATTATTTTTCGTCTTGAAATCAAATTATTGTGTGTGTCATATAATCTGTATAATGCGGAAGTGTCCATTCGTCACGCTCTGTATCTCACAAACGGTAGGTCGTACGATGACAACATGAACACTCAAATGTTTCTCTTGGTGAGAAACATAGCAGCGGAATTGTCACCGTTCCTGATGATTAACTACATGTTGCTTCCGATATATTTCGAAAAATAATATCCACAACAAACGAATAGATGTCAAAATCTTCCGGAAGAGTGATTTAACATTTTATTGGTAGTGTGTGCAGAAGTTGGGTTCCCCATTTATTTATATTTAATCTCGTTCTGCATGGGCACGATGAAAGTGCTCGTTTCTTAATATTTCGCCACCAATTAAAATATACAAAAATACAGAAAATTATTACTATTTATCAATATATAGCATAATTTTGTTGATCCCGACCCTGAAACTTGTATATATGGAGTTTGCATGTTCTCACCCTCCTGTGGATTTTTCTCTGGGTCCTCCATTTTTTTCCTTCCACATTTAGGATCAACGCACGTTTCGAGTATTTGGCTGCTATAAATTGTCCAGACGATGAGCCACTTCGTTGCGCTATCGTGTGTGGCCAGGTTGCCTCTGAAAAAAGAGCTAATCGCCCTTTGGGCTTTACCCAGTAAAATAAAATAGTTTATATTCTTGGTTCTTTCGGTAAAGTCACGTAGAAGGGAAATAATAAAATAATATAAATACAAAACAATAAAAATTCTCACGACGTTTCAATCATCATCAGGTGTGAAATCCACAGCAAGAAAATTTTAAAAAAGTGGCGAAAGAACCAAGAATATGAATCCCTGCAGTCACGAAAGCTTTAAATCAAAATTTAAAATAGTTTAGTTTTAATTTAGCCAAATTTCAAAAGATACCCACAAATTGCTACCTTCATTTATAACCGCAGTGACCTCCCTCTACTGCAGAATCTCGGCAGAACCCTTGGAGAGTCCCTCGTGGGTGCACGAGCGAAATTGTACAATTGTTTCCCATGCCGCTTTCTGGTTGTGCAGTCGACTCGCCGGCACCATGGAGCCGCTGGGCACGCGGTCCAGCACCGTCGCCATAGAGACGCTGGAGAAGTGGTGCCACGCTCGGCCCCAGCCGAGCGAGTCGGGCAGCCCGCAGGCGGCCCTGCCGCTCGGCACGGCCACCGCCGCTGTCGCCCCTCACGCCCGGTGCCCCCCCTCGCCCTTCCCGTACCGAGATGACATCAACGGAAAGATCGCCCTATGGTATGATGCGCGTGTGTTCGTGTGTGCGTGTGTGTGGCGGTTAGCGCGCTGCGCTACAAACCCGGCGATCCGGGTTCGATACCCGCTCACGGCCAACACCAGTGAGGATTATCTGAACCGGTCCAGGGCCTCCCCTAGGTCGACTCAGCCTCAAATGAGTACCTGGTGCGGTGTGTAAACATTGCCACTTAGGGAGACAAAGGCGGCCGGGCGTGGTGTTGGCCACCCACCCCCTCGTGTGCCGTGCGGGCCTTTATAGGTGCTCGCTAACAGCACTTGCCCCTACAGTCTGTTAAGGCTATACGGGGGATATTTGTCTTTATCTTTGTGGCGCTGGCACGTACCCGGCGACTCGGATTTCGAATCCCGCTCACGGCCGACACCATCGGTGACGATTATCGGAACCGGTCCCGGGCCTCCCCTCGGTCGACTCGGCCTTAAATGAGTACCTGGTGCTGTGTGTAGTAAACATCACCACTAGGGAGACAAAGGCGGCTGGGCGTGGTGTTGGCCTCCCATCGCCTCGTGTGCTGTTCTGGCCTTCATAGGTGTTCGCTAACAGCAGTCTGGCTATACGCGAAGTGCTGTGAGGTTGTTTTTACTCCTTTAAATCGTACGGTTATCGTAACTGGGGATTCAATTCATACTGAACGTTTTTCTGGGTCGCTGTTAGACTGAACTAGGTGGCACTAGATTCGCGGTCACGGCCATGAACAACGATGGGGTGTGCCGTGTTGCCGACCTAAGACAGACGTGGCTGACGTTAGGCCATGGGTGACATGCGCACAAAATGAAAGATTAGCCATGTGGACTTTATTTGAAGGTTGAAAAAATTTACTTGTTAACTTGCCCTGATCTCTTGGGTACTAATGTTGTCAAAACCCATCGAGTCATTTTATTAGGCTGTCTCAACGCACACATACAACAAACACAATTACCGGTCTCATTTAATCAGGGGTTATTAAAACCGGATAAGGGGAATGTTGTTTATTTAGCCGCGTGGTATCACTGCTGCGTCAGTGACGACAATCGCTTTATTGCAATTAAATCATGATTTCCCCGACATTTTAAGCAGATATCGTTATGGGTCGATGTGACTGCTAATTTAAATCTGTTCCCAATTCTAACGCGCTTAACATCATCATCGTCATTATAATCATCGCTGTTGTCCGTTACTGCCGAACTGCGCCTAAAACATTTATCGTATGCGGGAGAACATTCCCTTAAGTGACTCTTTGAGGTCTATTTGAGTAGAACACATGGCACGTTTTATTGTGCCATAAATGTACGGCCGTAAAGCTGCTAATGCATTCGCTGGCCAACTTAGACACAGACAATTGAGTTCATCCCGGACAACGGGGCAGCTTTGTTCGTAATTCTCGCTCCAAAATTCTGCCCCTGCCACCGAACCGTAACGAGCACCCGCCAGTTAAAAGCCGCGGAGATAAATTTACGGCGTGCGTCTCCGCAAGTGAAAACTTCTAGGACTGATAGTTATTTTATCGCGATGTAATTTACAAGAACTGATCGTACGGGCTAGCTGCGAGCCCAGCGTGACAGCAGGCAGTTGCACTGACGTGTTACGTGCGTCACGATACCAAGATCCACGAGAATCGTGCGACACGTTTTCAGTCACCACGGCGCTTGTGCCAGGCTAGGTGCACTTTGAGATCGTCGTGTGAGTTGTGACAGGCTCACTTGCCAGGAGTTCATGGGACAGACCCAGGTGTTATGAGTTGACCGACTGCCAGGCACACCGCTTGTGCACCTCACCATGATGTGAACTACCTCACCTGGTATACAGGAGGTCGTCGGTTCGATCCCAACCCCGACGCCTGTACATTTAGAGTTTGCATGTCCTCCGGTTTTTCACTTCACATTTAGAATCAATGTGCGTTCAGAGCATTTGGCTGCAATACATTTTCACATGATGGTAAGTCACTTCCTTGAGCTATTTTTTACGTCCAGGTCAGCTCTGAAAATGAGCTATACAGCTCAAGTGGGCCTGACCTGGTAAAATATAAGTTTTTATTTTGAGAGCATTTCTTGAAAACGAGGAGGGAGATGTTCTGTGTTGTGATTCTCAACGGTTGGTGGTGGGACTTCTCCCGTCTTCTGCGTGCTCATGGATTTCTTTGGAGAACCTTCATCTGGAATTTTATTCAGGACAACTCGATAAAAATATGCCTTACAGAAGACCACACGTTCTCCGGAATCTCATGGGTGATGTACTGTGACCTAAATGATCGGTAGCAAAAAGTTTAATTCTAGATTTGAACGACACACTTAAGCGGTGTGCTTTCGCGAAGTTGTTCCCACCTGAAGAAGGACGCTTGTGTTGCGCCCGAAACGTCGTGATTTAATTTATCTAAATTTTTTACCTACGTGACTTTACCGAAAAAACCAAAGAGTATGTATCAAAAAGTTTGTCAAAAACACTCTGCGTGTGGCCTTAAAAGGAAAAAAAAATTTAATAGGCGGACGTTTTGGACAACGGCTCTTCTTAAAATTACGTAAATAGAGAGCCCCGAGAGACAGTGTGGATGATAATAGTTGGAGACTGCACTTGTTTTTACACCATGGAGCCTGATGAGAATTACATACTTTTTTATTTTCTGATTACCAGATTTTAAACTGGCGTATGAGTAGATACATTCTCTGTAAGCTTCATTCTACCCCAGACGAAACCCAGATGAGTGTCACTTGCGTTGTACCACGTCACATCACGCATGCCTGTTTCGTTGCATCGTTTGCGCAAGTGGCATCCGGCAAAGTTTGCGACGTTATATATATATTTATTGTGAGATGACCCATCTCCGTGGCCTCACTAATGCAGCAGGACAACATGTTGGCAGCAGGGTACAAAGCTGTCGTTATTTTGAGTCATGTGAGAGCTCAAAGCAGGGGCTGGAGGACACTGGAATTGCCACACAGTGGCAATTACCACGGGTCACTAGCAGTGTTAATGTAGTAGGTATTTATTTTATTCGTAGTCTTACGGTAGTCGATGGCAACTTGTGCTTAACACTGAAGCCTACGAGAGCCTTGATGCTGCTCTGTGAGCCTCTCTGATTCTCACTGATCTCTTGAGAGAGCCTTAGTCTAGCTCTGAGCCTCAGTGGTTAGCACTGAACCATATGAGAACCCTAATATGGCTCTCTGAGCCTTAGTGATTTAACACTGAACTCTGTGAAAGCCTTAGTCTGACTTTTGAGCCTCAGGAATTAACACTTAACCCTATGGAAGCACTTAGTCTGGCAGCAGTGCCAATTTTGTCAGCTTTTTTCTTTAAGTAATATTCTTAGTCTAGTCAACAACAACGTGTGGAATTTCATTTGAGTCTTAGTCTCTGGGTTTCTTAAATTATCCTCTTAGTCTGGTCGACTGTAACAGTCCAACATGTAGCCAAGTATTTCGTTGCTAAATGTTGGTGTGAGAATGTTACTCGGTCTATCCTTTGTATATTCATATGGGACCAGTTTGCCACGCGTGGTGCGTTCCTCGGTGTGCTGCAGCCGCGAGTCTCGCCAACGAATCCTCTCGGCGAGAGACTCGTTGAATTCGTCCCATCACAGTCGGTAGCCGCGCTCTGCTGCTCCCTTGATGGTTGGCGGTCGAGGCCATAGTCATCGTTGTCACAGTTCCTTTATTTAGCGAACGCTTTTACACGTGGATTTTGCACAGTTAGAGCACCGGTTCAGTTGGTGATTTCCATCCACTCGCAGCCAGCGTTGACTACAATAAAACATGAAAGCAATCGCCGCCCGCTGAATTGACAAATACGTTTTGCCACTAAATTAAATGACAAAATTAACTCTGGTCGGTCGCTGCTCTCGGCTGTGTGTGTTTGTGTGATGGCCAATTCAAGTTTGTGCTCGTGGGCATGAACGTTCATTCCCAGCTTGTGGCCCAAGCGAGGGGCTTACTTTTCCACACTTTCCACAAAGGAACCTTTTCATCCGCTCTGGATCCGAAACGAAAAAGCTGAAGCGGCGTTGAACGCGGCGTGAAAAATGAAAGTGACTCCCGTGAATAATGGTGCTTTTCTTTGTGCGGAAAAGCATTGGGATGGAGTTAAATAAGTGAAATGGATGGAATAAATGAAAGGAAAACAATACGTAACGTCATAATGCGCGATGTGAGGATTTTTTTCAAAGCTTAAGTGTGCCGCGCGTAAATAAATCAAACGCGAATATTTTGCATGGAATCATTTATTTTGTACTGGGGAAGTTATTTATTTTGGCCGAGCAATGTGTTTTTTTTTTTGCTGAGATGTTTGTACTTTCTTTTTTCGTGTATTCATGTGGATACTGTATATTGGATTTTTTTTGTAATGGAACAATTCAGCCTTTTCATTGCTTTTGGCCGCATCGTTGTTTCTTCTGGATTCAAACCTGTCTGTGAGCCAGGTGTAGAAGCGTCATCTTTATGAGGGAGCCGGAGTGTTTGTCCATCTTGTCAGTCAGTCCAACCTTGGCCTGAGAAATCCGTAAAAACTGCTAATTCTCACGCAATTAAATATCCACAGCTTCGTCGCTTTCCCATCGATGCTTGGACTGCGTTAGGGCGTGTTTTCGCTGCTCACCACGCATACATAGATATTTATTTTAACCTTTTTACCAGGTTTGGCCCACTGGAGCTTTACAGCTCTTTTTCAGACGCGACCTGACCGCAAATGATAGTTCAACAAAGTGGTTTATCATCACGTGGAAATTTATAGCAGCCAAATACTCTTAAACTCGCGTTGATTCTAGAGGTGGAGGGAAAGAAACGGGCGACCCGGATACAAATGTACGTGACCACGGGGAGAACATGCAAGCTCCAAATATACAGGCGTCGGGGTCGGGGTCGAACCTATGGCCATGCGAGGTAGTTAACATCTCGCCACCGCGGTACATGCACTCGACAATGAAACCTCTCAGAACCGGAATTTGTCGTAAGCAAAGCGGGTGCCTTGGAGATCCGCTTTCCCCACTACCTGCTGTGCACGTGACCATCGTACAGCAGACTCTGGCACCCTGTCCCTAGCACGTGACTTTGCTCCGTGGGTGATGGAGCATTCTGTCCCTCCGCTCAGAAACTGTGGAATTCTTTGCCCAAGGCCATTGGAGACTCGCATGTAAAAACTTATTTTATTCATTGACCTCTTTAAAATAATTAATTTATTTCCAGTTTCTCTTTTTTTTGGGTGAATAATTTTATTTTGTTTTGCGTTGTAGAGTGCTGACAGCCAGGTGCTATAGAAAATAATTTAATTTATATTTTAAATGCTAGATTTGAAGTTTTCGTGGCTGTAGGGATCCATACTCTTTGGTTCTTTCGGTAAAGTCACGTACGCTTGTGTTGCGCCGGAAACTTCGCGATTTAATTTATTTTATTTTATACCTACGTGACTCTACCGAAAGAACCAAAGAGTATTTTAAATACTTTTAAATAAACCAAAAAAACTCCGAATGGCACACCGTTCTCTTGTTCCGTGAGTGGCCAATGGTACAGGTCTATGCTAATCATCTAGACATCTATGACAAAGAGCTTCCTAGCTCATCGGATTCCTCCAGTCTAAATAAACACATTCCTGCGGAGGGAGCTGGTAGGAACGTTGGGTTGCTCGGTCAATGGCCAGGGTCAACGGCGGCGTGGTGTATTCCGCAAATATGCCCGACTGTGACGGCGGGCACAAGGCGGAGTGAGTAGGTTAAACGTTGAGTTTTATAAGGGCACCACGGGGTGACCAACCCCTCCCCACCCAGCCCCACCCCTCCCACCCCCCACCCAGCCCTACCCTCCCCACCCAGCCCCTCCCCACCCTCTCCACCCAGCCCCTCCCCACCCTCCCCTCCCCACCCAGCCCCTCTCTCCCCTGTGGGCTGGTGTAACCAGGAGGTTCCTACCAGTAAGATTCTGAATTTCGATTCTAATCACGTGCAGTGAATTGGAGACGTGCCTGTCAACACTAGGAATTGTAAGACCCTATTGTTCTATTCCTGACCATTGTAATAAATCCATTGAGAGCTGCAATCTTGGAATCTTCTTCTTCCTGTGTGCTGCCACCACAGTCGTGTGTTTATCCAGTATCAGGCTCATGATGATGCTATGGCCAGTAGTGGATAGACCATGGCTCATGACGGTACGGCCAGGTATCTAATCAGCATGTGCCTGCTCGCCCTTAAAGCTTTGCGCAGCTGCCAGAAATGTAAAACAAAACCCAATCAAATAGTCACATGGAAACAAATGCGTACGTTTTAGCGGTAATGAAGCGTTGTTTCATCGCAGCAGGGGGGCGGTCGAATGCTCTTATTCATTTATACACATGGATCAACAAAAAAGGGTGGAATTGTTTTTTGACGTCGTTGAGATGCTTTTGCGTCACGCATTTCGTCCATTTGTTTAACGAGCTCCCTTCTCCGTGTCCTCTGAGCATTAGTCATTTCCCCGGGACCTTACACGATGGTCGGTGGTAAAGGTGCAGCCCTGAAATTGCGAGCTCACACCACTGCTGGTGGAAGGGCGTCTAATGTAAAAAAAAAATCTCGACAGGGCCACTCTTGAGTTATTTTGTCAACTCTTTCACACTGGCCGGATGTTCTTGGAAGAAGTACCCACGTTTCGTACCACCACAGGACAACCTACCAGTCGGTTGATGTAGTGAATCCATTTAAACTGCTTGGTGGACAGAGGCTGGGGGGATTTAAGAAACTTGCAACTGCCGCGCCGGAAGATTGAATGGAACCGGTAAACTATTAAACAATTTTCTATTTTACCAGGTAAAGGCCCACTGAGCTATGTAGCTCCTTTTCAGAAGGGACCTGTTCACAAATGATAGCTCAACGAAGTGGCTTATTGTGTGGAAATGTATAGCAGCCAAATGCTCTAAACGTGTGACGTTGTTTCTGAATGTGGAGGGAAAAACCGGAGGACCCTGAGAAAAGTCCACACGACCACGGGAAGAGCATACATACTCCAAATATACAGCAGCAGGCGTCAGGGTCAGGATCGAACCCACGATCTCCTGTATACCAGGCGAGGTAGTTAACATCGTGCCACTGGAACCGGTGGCCTGGGATGGCAAGTTTGTTGTTACACCACGGCAACATCCCAAAAACAATAAGAAAGCTACTAGTGATGACAATATATTTTTATTCTCCAAACAATTTTTGTTTTGCTTGGCAGATGATTGTAGACAATTATTCCGTTAAGTGCTTTTTTGGATGTCTCAACGAATTTGGTCGAAAGGCTTGAGGATCATCGTTACTTAAAATCCGATGGATTTTTGTTGTTGTTCTTCTTGTTTGGAAGCGGCTAACCATCGGTCGAACCGACGGGACGTCGCGTGTGCGCAGTGGAAATGTACGCCCCCGCCGTCGACCTATGGCGGTTGTTACAATTATGCGGTTGCGTTACAATTACGCGCTGACCTATGCTCGGTGTCTTGTATAATTACACTGGTCAACACACTTTTTCTGGCATAAGGTACTCCAACGGTTTTAAGGTAATTTTGGGGTGCTGATTCCAAATCTGGCATCAGTTTTTGTCTATCACATCAAATATTGTATTTTCAATAAAAACTGCAGAAGAAAAATATAAAATTAATGTGGATATCTACATAAAATGATATTATAAACAGACTATCCTAAAAATACAGCACCATATTTTAACCCTAAAGCAGTCACTGACTCGCAACAACTTGCAATCATAATTGACAGAGTTAATTTCGGGTTAAATCAATGAAAATGGGGTATGCCGATAGCATAAAAACGAGATGTGATAGAGCAAATCTGAGATCAGATTTGGAATCAGCACCCTGAAATTAGTCTAAAACAGCTGCAAAAGTCCAGGCCAGAAAAAAATGTATTTTTTTTTGTTGACCAGCGTTATGCACAGTTGCAATCCCGTTTAACTTGCAGGTGACCATTCGAGCGGAGGGGGGGGGGGGTTGAACCCCCCCCCCACTCCCCCGAAATGAGAGAGGGATTTGCCCCAAAATTCTACGCGTTCATGACCTGTGCTTTCCTCGCGGACGTTCGTTTGTTTGTTTGGTTCTTGAACAACTGCAAAAAAAACAAAGCGCAGGTAGCCTGCGGACAGAACCTTCAGAAACCGCTTACAATTAGAGGGAGAGACGCCAATAACAATGGGCAAATAATAATTGCAGTGCTGTCATCAGGCTCTCGGTATTTTTTGTTGCCGGCGTTCGTGTCTCTCGCCCGTGTCGTGGCGGGTAACGCCCTTGGGTTAAAATGTTGTTACGTGCCGTGTGTTTTGTTGTTGTTGTTATTGCTTGTCCTCCCTTTGATTCTTTTTTTAAACGCCTAGCTGTTGTTTTTACTGTGGCTCATTTGACATTCATTGAGTGACACAATGATGCCCTTACGTTCCTTGCAGACTTGTAATGAAAAATGCTGTATTCAGACACACGAGTAGTGGCACATTTACGCTGGCATACGCTGCCTATCATCGGTGGTGCATGATATCTGAACCTGTCTTAGGTCTCCTCTAGGTCGACTCGGCCTGTACAATGAGTACCTGCTGCAGTGTTTCAAACATTATCACTGTGGTAACAAAAGCAGGTGAGCGTGGTGGTGCTCGCCACACGCTAACAACACAGACAGACTATGGAGGTTACACGGGCGATCTTTGCCGATACTTGTGTATTACAATATGTCTCGGGAGCTAAATGCCAATGTCGTGGTCTGTTGGCCGCAGAGAAGAGGGCTTCAGGAGAGTATTCATGTAGTCTTGCTGTTCCTCCTATTGAAGGAGGGCAGGCTACAGTGGGTAACTACAGGGTCCAAAATTTGGGTTGCGTGGCCACGATCGCACGACTGTGGCTTGTCTAATTTCCCATTCATTAAGGAGATTCGGCGGGCATTTGGCCTGCTGTTGACGTTTTCATGCAGTTGATGGTTACACCAGTGGTGAGCGAGTTGGTGGGAGAGCGAGTGAGTTGATGGGTACACCCAGTGTCTTCGAGGTGTAGCAATGTCACGCAAGCCAGGAGGTGTATGGTGTGATGTTTGTCTCTCGAATGAGGCATTCATTCTGGACTCCCGCATCCAGACGATCTCGCCACCATCTCGCGATGCCACCCCACCAGAGGTCGCAAACGGGTTTTGATTCTTTACCCGTACCCGTGCCCGGCCGCACCAGGGTTGCAAACGGGTACCCATACCCGTACCCGGCCAGGTACGGGTAGCCGGGTATCAGGTAGGGTACGGGTATCGGGTACCCGGTTGCGACCTCTGCACCCCACCTGCCACGCGTTTTCACGTCGCCTCAAGCTTGACTAACGGCGTCATCCGGGGCGGAAAAACGGCCGTCGTTAATTCGAATGTTCTTTTGTTCTCGTATTCGTCTGCGCATGCGTGCGCGAGCAGGAAGGGCGACGTGGCGCACCTGAACTGCAACGTCATCGTGTGCCCCACCAACGAGCACCTCAACGACAAGAACGCCGTCAGCGACAGCGTGCACGCGCTCGCCGGGCCGCAGCTGCACGACGAGCTGCGCAAGCTGAACGGTCGGTACCCTCGCGGCCGCGTGGCTCGCTCACAGTTTCGTGTCCGGCGGGGCTACCACCCCACCCCCCCAACCCACCCCCCCAGTTCATGCAACGGTGTGGTATGACACGGGGTAAAAACGCCACGCACCGCTTGTGTGGTCGCGGTGGACGTCGGAAAGAGCCCCCCCTGGCGTCGTTCGAGACAAGGATGTCGGTTGTTGTTGTGTGTGCCGCCACCCTCATCGTCCAGATGTTCCCGACATCGATCATTCGCACCACGGATTAGGTGCCGAGTCACCTGATGCCACACATGGTTAGCTGCCAATGGGGTCGCCCCTTTACATTTTTCAGATGAGATGTTGATGTAAGTGAAGTGATCGTGAGACGCCTCGGCGTCATTAGTGGTCTATCAAAAACTAATTATTATTTGATAGTCATACCACACCGCCCCCAATGAAAGACAACTCAAAGTGTTATTTAGCACGTACGTATGTATTACCACAGTGATGTGACTGTAGTGCTATGGCAGTATGCTTGAATGCCACTTTAAAGTATTTTATTCGCATTAATTAAGCTTTGTACTCTTGGTCGGACAATCCAGGGCACACAGCCTGGGTACATACAGTATCTAGAGCATGAGTAAAGCTGTTTGCTTTGGATTTTAAAATGTCAAGAGAGCTACGGTCCAGTTGGGTCGGACGTATGCATTGCGAACATCGCTTGCGTTGCTCGCCTGCCAGCTCGGTTGACCCCGGTCTGTGGCCTTTCACTTTCACATGTTCCAAAGGAAACTTGATTTTCTGCAGGTGTAGTAACTGACTCAGATACACTAAGAGTAGGAGGCACTCTGTTTGTTAACAGCCTTAACAATTCACACTATTAGCAACTACACTTCCCAGTCAGGACAGCTGGCAGACTGCCTGACTAGCGACGCCGAGACGGTGAAGACGGCGGCGATGACTCCAGCAGCAGCACGACGGGATCCCACTCCAAACGACAGCCCCAAGGTCTCCTCCCGGGGCCCCTCTTATACTGTCAGCGTGGCCTGGCTCCGCCCTGGCCACCCCCATGGCCACGCCCCCCTTCTGGAACCTACTAGCGGGTTCGTTTGTACCCCTTCCGTAACCTTTCACCTACATCCCTCTCTCTGGTGTATCACGTGACCTGCTGTCAGTCAGGGCTGCTGTAATTGCAGATCCCCTTCCCTGCCAGCAACAAGCGTTATGCTACTCTTTGTTTTTTTTGGTAAAGTCACGTAGGTAAAACAATTAATTAATAATATAAAATAAATGAAAACAACTAAATTAAGTCACGACGTTTCGGAGGCAACACAAGCCTCCCTCATCAGGTGTAAAAAGGCACGGCAAAATTACTGTAGCCAATCAAATCTAGAATTAAGCGCTATGCTGCTAAGTGACCGATTCTATGTCACTACACAGGTATAACATATCAGAACGTCACGCTGTTTGTGGGTCTTGACCCCTGCGTGAGTGCAGGCTTAGCAGAATTAGGGAAGCGGGATGAACCTGGAGGCTAAATAAGCTCGTCTCACCAGCCAAGCTTGGAATACTAGTGATAATGATGCCTTTCATTTGTCTAGGTGATGTTTAACTGAGCCTACTTATGTTGGAATGTTTGGCCAATACATTTCTTTAGAAGTGCTTTTTGTGTTTTGTTTATTGTCCTTGCCCCGCACCTCTGATTAGCATGGTTGGTTACGTACGGTGCGAAATAAGTTCAACATGCATGCAATAATATCTTTGAGATGGCTCTCCCATGTGGGGTTGTGGGTTGAACCGTGCGTTGTTCGGCGTGATGTCTGACGTTTCACACCACGTCCTGGAAGCTTCTTGAGGAGCTGAATTGAATGATATAATTTGGCCAATTTTGGAATGTTATATTGGGCCAATCATTTAAATTTGTGTCTCTCCGATGGGAGTGTCTCTCCGATTGGGGGTTCGCGGTGGTGAGATGTTAACTATCTCGCCTGGTATACAGGAGGTCGGGGTTCAATCCCGACCCAGTGACGCCTGCTGTATATATTTGGAGTTTTCCTGTTCTCCCCGTGGTTGCTTGGATTTTTATCCGGGTCGTCTGGTTTTTTTCCTCAACATTTAGAAACATGCGTATAGAGTATTTGGCTGGTATAAATTTCCACGTGATAAGGCACTTCGTTGAGCGATCATTTGTGGCCAGCTGTATCGCTCAGTGGGCCTTACCTGGTAAAAGAAAAATAGTTGAGTTTAGTTTAAATTCGAGTTGTACCACGTGTTTCACTCTGGGTGCTGGGAGCACCTTTCTTTCCTGCACCATCTCCCCTTCATCAAGCCACACTGACTGGCGTAGCGAAGTGTGGTCAAACAACTCCCGTTATGACGTACGCGGCGTGGCAAGGCTTTCGTCCAGCAGTGGATAGACGAACGAACGAAAGATAATGCTATTTTTATTATTCTCATTGCAAAATGACGTTGCATTATGATTTGTTTAGTTTCCGGAGTGAGCGGCGGTGGCAGCGGCAGCGGCGTACTGTGAACCCAACGACCCGCTGTTTATTCACGTCGAGCGTGCGATACCTGAACCAGCGCTTGCGAACGCAAATTTGACTCCGATTTTATTCACTCTCACATGCCCAGCCGGTTCCGTTTTCTCGCTGCTCTTGTTCGGCGAGTGCCAGTGTGCTTCGACAACGGCTCACTTGTTGAGCTGGCAGCATTGCTTCGTGTAGACGGAAGGACAAACAGATGCTGCGATGATGCAGATAGAGCATTGGTTGTGCAACAGAGGTTTAGCAATTCCTCCCCCATCTCCCCTCCCCCCTCTGCCCCTGGTATTTCGATGAATCGTCAAAATTTAGTTTCCTTTGCAGCGTTTTCTGGTTGTACTGCCGTGTGTTATCCTGCTCGATGTCCGACGGTTCGCTCTACATGCTGGGGAGCTTCTTCAGTGACTGAAGAAAACAATAATAAACGTCGGATATTGTGCCAAACGACACTCGATCGAGACGAATGACAGTGATTTTTTTTTTTACTAGGTAAGACCCACTAGCTCTTTTTCAGAAGCGACCTGGTTATCACAAATGATAGCTCAGCGAAGTGGTTTATCACGTGGAAATCTATAGCAGCCAAATACTCTAAACGTGTGTTGATTACAAATGTGGAGGGAAAAACAGGAGGACCCGGAGAAAAATCTATGCGACCATGGGTAGAGAGACGTGCAAACTCCAAATATACAGGCGTCAGGGTCGGGATCGAAACCACGAACCTCCTGTATACCAGGCGAGGTAGCTAACATCTCGGTACCGTGGCACCCCACAATCAGTTAGTATTACGTTCCTGCAAAAATCATGCAATGACCACAACCAATGTTTCCATCAAAATGTGGAATTACGGCTAAATAGAACACGCATACTTGAAATAGTATCAACGATTTATTTTTCATGCAGCCGTTTTTATAAAATATTTGAAACGTGTGTGTAAACATCGCCACTAGGGAGACAAAGGTGGTCAGGCATGGTGTTGGCCACCCCCCTCACCCCTTTGTGTGTCGTGCCGGCCTTAATCGGTGCTCGCTTAACAGCACTTGCCCCAACAGTCTGTTCATGGCTATACGGAGGAGTCATATTCTTAGGTTTTTTCGGTAAAGTTACGTAGGTAAAAAACATTAAAAAGTAAAATAAAATAAAAATCACGACGTTTCGGAGGCAACACAAGCTTCTGTCTTCAGGTGGTACCGTCACAGCCACGACAGCTGTATCAAGTAAATGAGAGATTGCAGAAGCTACCACTCCGTTTATATAATGGAGTGGTAGCTTCTGTGACGGTACCACCTGAAGACGGAAGCTTGTGTTGCCTCCGAAACGTGATTTTTATTTTATTTTACTTTTTAATGTTTTTTACCTACGTGAGTTTACCGAAAAAACCTAAGCATATGAATCATTGCAGTCACGAAAGCTTCAAATCTAGAATTATACGGAGGATCTTTTGTCTTGTTTGTGTGTTTTCAGCAACGTGGCCTGCAAAATCGATGACATGCAAACGGTTCACCTGTGCCGCCTATTCACCTTGTAAAGGCGACGTGGAATACGAGTCACTTGCAGTACCGCCTCTGGGCGGCAGGGTGGCGCAGTGGTCACGCTCTTGTCTCGCAGAAAGTCGCCCACCCGGGTTCGATTCGCGACTCGGGCGCCTTGTACATGGAGTTAGTTCGTTCCTGCACCCCCACCCCCCACGTGTTCTGCATTGGTATCTTCCGCATTCTGCATTTTTACTCGGGTAGTTAACCGACAGCGTTCAATGCGACTGGAATCGGCCAAGCATACCCTGCGCAGAAACAAATGACCTTGCAAGTTACTCGTTTGGAATTGCACACAGCAGCAACATTGGTCAACCCCTACTGCGACACAAACCTGGCAGGACCCTCCTGAAAGCGAGTCTTGAGACTCAGCGAGGCTTTGCTAGGTGAACAAGGATTCCAATAGTAAACTTACAAATTCATCCGAGGTGTCACCAAACGCCAGTCTCTCACCCAGTGATTAAGAAAGTGCGAAACCGCACGTTGAATACGTCAAACGTTGTCGCCGCTCGCACCCTAACCCCTCTGCGATTCAACTCCAGAATCGATCGTTCTCTCTTTTTGTTGTTGTTCTTGTTTTTACCCGACCCCGTTTGTATTGATCTTCATCGCCCCATGCAGCATTTCCTTCCAACGTTGCATTCGCCAACATCGGGGTGGGACCATTCACACTCTTCCCCCCAACCCCGTTCGACGATTTTGCGAATGTACGTATGTATTTTGAACTTCTCCACGTTTTAGTACGTCGTACGCGCTTCGCAGAACATGACTTCTGGCGATTTCTCAATCCACTGCTGCATGACAAGTCCAGATTTGAAGTTTTCGTGACTGCAGGGATCCATACTCTGGTTCTTTCGGTAAAGTCACGTAGGTGAAAGAAAAAAAGAAAAATAACTAAATTAAATCACGACGTTTCGGAGGCAACACAAGCTTCCGTCATCAGTTGG